TAGCTTGCTCAATTTTCATAGCATCAGGTTCAGAACCATCGGAGATCTGCACAGCGGTTCTGAAAGAATTCACCTCAGTTGGCTAGGATTAAAATGGGAAAATGATTGTAAGAGAAATGTAGTTTTATTGTGGATTAGTCAAATTTCCGCAGGGCAATTAGCTCAATTGCATTTATCACCTGCATATTTCCAAAGTTTCCTTCTGCCCATTGCTTCACATAGCGGTTCATTACAAATAACAGAGTCACTCCGGAGTGCATTCAAACAGAAAAAAAAAGGAAATGAAATGTAGACTGGATTTAATTTTTCAACAGATCTACAAAGAATGAGGACATCTGCAAAATCTAAAGCAGTACTCAGAATTAATTAGGTTTATCATAAAAGAAGAACCATAGTATGGTGCCAATTTGCAACTTATATTCCCCTATGTGAGCTAGGATAGGTTGCCACTTAGAGAAAATTGATGTTCATTTACCCTCAATTTAAAGAGAAAGCAATCATTTTCCAGGAAGGCCTTATTGCAGAAGTACTCTATAAATCACAGTATCCTCTTTGGCTATTTGGTGACCAAGACAAATTCTCATAACTGATTTGCTGTGAACAAGACATGAAGGCATAAAGAAAAAGGTAGCAAGCCTGTTTAGATTTCTTTCATGTGGAATGTTAGGTTCTGCACAGCAAGCATTCTAACAAAGCTGTTATTAAAAACATTCTCACATACAAGTTCACAGAAAACATTATACCTTTTAGAGCAGAGATGAGTAATATTCTGACGGCCAGATTTACACCTAACATTTTGGGGAGGTTGAGGAATATTTTTTGAAGAGTAATTTGTTAGAGAACTGAAAAGAGCATTGCTTTTGTTTTAACCGTGGTATGTCCATTCTATAATTCACACTGGATTTCTCATTTGTTTCCCAAGTGAAAATGACAGGACATTTTGCTAGCAGTTTTCAGTAATCACGGCTGGTGGGAAATAAGGGCCCCAAAAAGAGGATCTAGAAGCCTCCACAGCCTGAGGAAACAGGATGTCCAACCCTGCCTTACAGCTGTTAAGAGAGGCTCCAAAGTACTTAAGGGATACAAATAAGTACCTCCAGTGCTTTTTTTGTAAGAAAAAAGGTGCCAGAACTCACATCTTGTTAATCTTTTATTAAAAATATATATATATATTCAGTTCTTAGCAGGACCGGTGGTTGAGAAGTATTTTTTTTTTCATTTTTAAATTTGAGGTCACACTTTTACACTAAAAAATTAAAAAAGATTTTCAATTCACCAACAATTCTTTAAAATAAGAAATTATTTACCTTTCGCACGTAGTCAATCACTGTACACACACCCACACGTCAGTTGTGTAATGAAACATAATGGTCACCGCCTGCAGTAAGCACTGAGCGTGCGACCACACAACCAATCACAAGCCGAGCAGTGCTACAAGCCGAGCAGCGCCATCACAACCAGCGCGGATGAAGTACGCATGCATCGGATTCGACACACAAGCAGCCCGCATACACCATTTTAATGATTTTGCCACCGACCTGGTACACTCAACAGGGAGATTCAAGTCCACGTGGACCAAACATCAAATTTTCAAAAGTTACTTTTAAAACTTGGAAAAATCCATCAAAAAAAGGTGCCGGAACTCTGTTCCGGTGCGTTCTATGACAAAAAAATCACTGAGTACCTCCCTCTCCAAAATCAGAGCAACATTTGCTCAGATTTAAAATTCAATGCCCAGCATGATTGCATTTCCTGCGACTAGCAGAATCCAGCTACGGTAGAAGATTTTGAAAATAACACAATTCCAATGTAGGAAAGATTAGATCGTAAGTGGGAAAACTATGGAGAAGACGTTATTGAAGTTCAGCCGAAATCAGCCCTAGCCAGCAAGATCCCTAGCAAGAGATGATAGCAGATCCACCATCAGCTGAAAATGTCACATCTGAATTGGCATGAATCTCATAGGTACTCATCATGGGTTCTTTTTTTAAATCACAGCCAATTATATTAACTCAGAATCAAGAGATACATAAAACCACTGGCTCCTTGGTGGATTCTTTATTCAATTTAATTTAATTTCAATTTATTTGATTTATATACCGCCCTTCTCCCTTGCGGGACTCAGGGCGGTGAACAGGCACATTAATAAAACAGCGATACCATAATATTTAAAAGTATTAAAAACTAATTAAATTATTTGTCCTGTCCTAAAACCCACTATAATAATATAAAATTATACCCAATTTAAAATTTTAGAATTTCGGATTTATGCC